CAACCAACCAACCAACCAACCAATGACCACATGAATGACCCATCCATCGACAGGTGAGGGTGAGATTGAGTGCTCCCACTTCTTCCTCTCACTCCGTGCTCCTCCTCTTCTCCTTCTTCTCCCTGCACACTGCGCACAGCAACAACAGCCACCAGCCACACACACACACTTATGTGGACCATCATCCATCAATCCATCCACGCATGGGTGGTTGGATGACAACCAACACACACCACTGCGTGTGGCACTCACAAATGCGCACACGCACACAATTGCTCACCGTTGTGTGGTGACAGAACAACTGCCATCAGCCACCGTCATGCAGCGGCGACCCTGAGAATGGATTATGCTTCCTCTCAACCAGTGAGCAGTACACATAAGAGGGCGGAGGGAAATGACATCAACCAACATCACAGCCAATGTATGTGTGTGTGTGTGCAAGGGGTTGTGTTCCTTCCCATCCTCCTCCTCCTTCTGTCTGTGACACACTGCTCACTGCTGTTGTTGTTGTTGTTGCTTGCTTGTTTGTGGTGGTGCGTGCAGATGAATGCATTCCATCATCATCATCATCAGCAGCAGCAGGTGCTGGCTGATGCGTGAGGCAGTGGGCAACCCCCCACCAACCAACAATGACTGCGTGCTGCCGGATGAATGGTGATCGAGCCACTGCATCACCCAGACAGGTGTGTGTGTGTGTGTGTTGACGTGCGTGTTCTCTTCTCCACCCACCACACACGCCATCATCACCGCCTCATCTTCTTGTGTCTTTGCTCACCTCCTTCCCTCTCCCTCCTCAACACCATCACCACCACCCTCCACACGTGCTCGTTTCCCCTTCCTTCTTTCTGCTGTCGCCACACAGAGGGCCTTGAGCCAGCAGCTGTCACCCCCACCCCCTCCACCAACCACCACTGCTCTGGTGGGATAAACAGACGGGCGCTGCCATGCGATGACCATTCAGCCACGCTTGTGCGATTGCGGAAACAGCAGCACCAACTCACACCACACCACAAACAAGCAAGCGATGAACAACGTGAGTGCATCACTGTACGTATGTGTGTGTGTGTGTGATGAGCACAGCATCACTGCGCGTGTTTTGTGGTCGCTGTCTCTGCTGCTCCTGTCTCCCCTTGTTGTCCCACATCAATGTGCATGCATGTGTGCCGTGCGGCTGCCTGTTTTGCCTTGCTGATGCGCTGTCTCATTCGTCGTTCTCACACACGCAACCGCCTGCACACCTGCACATTCTCCACCTTGCAGCCGCTGCTTATATTCCCCTCTCTTTCTCGCCCTCCCTGACGGCCATCACAACAACAACAACAGCAGCAGCAGCCAACACACCCTCCACCGCCGATGCAGCAGCAGCAGAGAATGCACCACCACCATCACTTGCTGCTGAACACATTCCCCAGCCAACCCATCGCCCAACCCATCGCCCGCTGCTGCTGGCAGAAGCTGGCTGTTTGCAGCTGGGAACAGGTGGCGACAGCACAAGTTGCATTTTCGGCTGGAAGCAGCAGCAGAGGTGAGGGCGAGAAGAAGAAGAGGGGAAACGGAGAGGAGATGTGTGTTGGATGGATGGATGGATGGATGAGGTGGGGTGGGGGATGCTGGGTGAGTGTGGTGTGGCTGACTGGCTGGTGACAGAGGACGGTGGTGTGTGGTGGTGTGAGGAAGAGGGATGGATGGGTGGATGGGGTGCAGCATGTCTTGTTCCTTCCCTTCTGTTTTCTGTTTTCTCTCTCTTCCCTTTCTCCTCCTTCACATACGCATGCAAAGCATCACCGGTAGCAGCAGTGTGACTGCGCACACATCAATGCTTTCTCTTCCCTCCCACTCACTCACTCACCGTGCTCGCACACAAACACATTCACAGGCGATGCACACGCACAGACAGCAGGATGAGGGAAATGTCGAGGCTACTTGCCACGCGTGCCAGCTGCACTCGTCTCACACATGGTATGTGGGTGGTGATGAGTGGTTGTTGGGTGTGTGATGGGGCTGTGGCGGTGATGCGGTGCGATGAAGCGAACAAGAGGAAGAAGGGTTGATGGGGGATGATGATCACACACACACGCACACACGTGGTGCATGTGATGTCACTCACTTCTTCTGCTGTGCTGACATAATGGCTTGCTCTGCGTGTTCTGTTCCCATCCACGTTCCCTGCAACCACACATGCACACACGCACACACGCATGCACAGGTGGTGAGGTACCAGCACACATCAGGATGGTAATGATGGAAGCGGGCTGGCTCGCATGCCGGCTGCTGCTGCAACTCCCCTGATTCGGCTGTCGCTGCTGTGCACATGCAGTGGTCCCATGCGTGAGAAAGGTGAGCCCATCATGCATGCTTTGGTTGCCACATGGTGCATGTGTTGGTGTTGTTGCTGCTGTGGGTGTTTGGTGTTGCTGCTGTGGGTGTCTCGTGCACCAGTGTAGCTGTGCAGCTCACCTGCGATATGTACGTGTGTGTGTGCGGCTGCAGGGGACGACTGCGTGAGGATCGTTGGAGGATGATGGGTGGGTGCACACATGATGGATTGGGAGGAGCAGCTGTGAACACACACGTCCATGGTCATGGTGGGCACATCCAACCACAGCGACGCAGTCATGCGCAGGTGTGTGTGTGTGTGTGCGTGCGTGTGTGTGTGTGTATGTGTGTGTGTGTGTGTGTGTGTGTGTGTGTGTGTGTGTGTGTGGGGCGAGGAGAAGGA